GCAAAAGTACATAGGATCACCTTTGATTTCCCCTCTTAAGTTGCCATCTTAAAGTTAACTACATATGTAACTATATTTTTAGATCATTTTAAAGAGACAAAGCAGCATATGTTCTCATTTTTGTAGGTCCATAAGCCAGCTAAGATAACATTGTTGGTGCTAAGTGCTGTGGAGCTGGTTCCGACTCACGGCGACTCTGTACAGTGTTTCTGAGGAGCGGCTGGTGGATTTGAATTGGCAACATTGAGGTTCCAATGGACATTGCAGTTGAGTGCTTATCCTATAGTGCCACACCAGGACTCCAGACTTCACGTTTAGCTAACAAAAAGTGATTATGATGTGGATGACAATCAAGAGATAATCCCCCTCAAAAAATCCAAAGTTTTGTTTTGTGACACAAAGCAGCTCACTCAGAGGCACTATTGGAATCTACTAGTAAAGTACTTAATACATACTTATGTACAAATCAAGACAATTCTTAACAATTTCTATCTAAACTGTTAATTAATTCATCATGGTATCTCAGTTTTTTCCTTCCAAACATAAATATTGTATTAAAAAAAATCTAAAAATAAACTACATTTGGGGGAGCTTTGTTTTTAATTATTATTTAAGATGTTATAGAGTCTAGTTGTGGTACAGCGCTGTAGGATAAGCACTGGATTGCTAACTGCAAGACTGGCAGTTCAGACTCACCCGTCACTCCCGGGAAACGCTAACAGGTCACTGTGAGGCCGAAGCTACTAGGCTGGCACTGACAACACGCCAAGTAGTACTACAGGGCGGAACCGCACACTGCACATGTCATTCCCCGCCTGAGTTTTGAGGAAATCATTTAACTTCACTGTGCTCTGTGTCTTTATCTATGAAATGAGCTAGTAGTCCTGGAAAAAGAACAGCCAGGGCTCTATCTGTAGATAATAAACACAGGTTCATTTTACAAGTGACTATTTTTCAGGCCATTGACATTGCTTCCTGCAGAACAAAATTCCAAACCAGTTGCCATCAAGTTGGTTCCAATTCCTGGTGACTTCATGTCTGTCAGAGGAGAACTGCAACCCTGAGTTTTAAAGGGCTGATTTTTCAGAAGGAGATTGCCACACTTCTCTTTTCTGAGGCACTTCTGGTTGTAGTGAATCACCAGCCTTTTAGCAACTATGCATTGCTAATCACTTTGTTACTCTGTATAGCAACAAACTTTTAAAATAAATATGTTCCTGTGATATAAATGAATTTCTAAGAAAAAGTAGTAATCTCAGTAGACAAAAGAAAAGATCATCAATAAAATGACATTCTGGACAGAACTTTAAAACTCAGAAAATCCTTGTTGTTGTTGTTGGGTGCCATAGAGTCGGCACCAACTCACAGTGACCTTATGCACAGCAGAACGAAACAATGTCCGATCCTGGGCCAACCTCACTACTGTTGCCACACTTGAGACCATCGATGCTGCTACCTAGCCAATCCATCTCGTTGGGGGTCTTCTTCTTTTTCTCTGACCCTCCATCTTACCAAACATGATATCCTTCTTCAGCGAAATGTTCCCTCCCTGACAATAGGTCCAAAGTATGAAAGACAAAGTTTGGCCATCATGGTCTCTAAGGAGCACTCTGGCTGCACTTCTTCTATAACGGATCTATAGGTTCTGTTCGCAGCACTTCTTCCAAAATGGATCTATAGGTTCTCCTCCAACACCATAACCCAAAGGCATCAATTCTTCTATGGTCTTCCTTATTCACTGTCCAGCTTTCGCATGCATATGTGGTTATTGAAAATACCATGGCTTGAGTCAGGCGCACCTTAGTCCTCAAGCTGACATCTTTGCCCTTCAACACTTTAAAAATGTCTTGTGCAGCAGATTTGCCTAATGCAATACGTCGTCTGATCTCTTGACTGCTGCTTCCATGAGTGTTATAGTTGATCCAAGATCCAAGAAGAATGAAGTCCTTGACAACTTCAATTTTTTTCTCTGTTGATAAGAATGTTGTTTATTGGTCCAGTGGTGAGGATTTTTGTTTTCTTGACATTGAGATGTAATCCATACTGAA